GGCGGCTATTAATAAAGGAAGAAGGACATTGTCGATTAAGATGACCATTTCTGGCTCATTAGCCAAACCCAATTGGTGCTCCACTCAAAGGTGGTGGGGTTGAGACCCAGAAATTGCCTTTTGAAAGCGTGAGCGTAATACGTGATAACAGAAGGTTATGTCAACGTGTCTGTTGATGGAGTTAATGTTAGACACTCAGGTCTTCAGCCGTTCCCGTTGTATTATCGCTTGTTCACACCATTCCCCGTGTGCTCGCGATGTCGAACTTGTGGCCTTCCCCCAGGGTGAGTAGGCAGTTGAGGCAGTGTGCTCCTGTCTGAACCGTCTGTTTGTGCTCGATTGTTTGTGGGCCAAGTCGTCGTCCGCGTTGACTTGTATAATGGTGAGGCCATTCACCGTAGGATACTTGATCAATGATATGAGATTGCTCATTGACGTACACCAGTCCTTCAGTTTTATAATTCCCGTACACATGGTAGCTGGTCGGACAATGGGCAATACCCAACTGGGCAGTAATACGTTCTGCTGTTTCTGAAACATTTTTCATATATGGTAGAGAATGCCAGAATGCCAATGGCTCTATTCTATTATTTTCGCTTGGGCGAGTACAGAGACGGCGGCGATGCGGTTGAGCCTCGAGCTCGTTCTCCTGTAGATTATGTTAGGCAACATGTTGTGGGTTTGTGATTAAGGAGTGGAGAAACCCGGGGTTGGGTATATCTGCCCCCTGACGACTAATAAACCAAAAACGAACATTCCGGTATCCATATTCTTTGTCGGTAGTGTCACTCTGCCTATGCTAGTAGTTGCTATGCGGCTGCCAACAGGCCTCGAGTGTGAACCTCAAGGCACAACGGGGCGTATGTTTCGTGACGTGATTGGCGAGCATCCCTCTAGCATGTATAGTATCGTGGATTGGCGCTCTCCGATTAGGTTGCTCGTCGAGTTGTCCCTAGGGGCTCGAACTCTCATAGCGACTACTAGTATAGGTGGATAAGGTGGTGCCGATGATAAGGGAGACCATGTTAGGACGGCCTAACAGCAGCCTTCGCAAGCAGTAGCTTGCAAGCCATAGCCGCGTCCACAACAGGCTAA